CGGGGTGAAAATGAGCGATATTCTGCTCGATTTACATTCTTTTACGACGAAGGGACAATCACTGTAGCATTCGCATTTCGGGAACCAGTGATTGTCCCTGCCCCCTACAGCAAGCTGCAGTCAAATATTTGCACCCCTGCCCCCTACAGCAAGCTGCAGTCAAATATTTGCACTATCTCACATGCCATATGGTAGAATGAACCTTCAACAACCTAGCCGCAAAGAAGTTTTCGAACAAACACGTCGGCATCCGGTCGTAAACGACCCGATTCTAACCCTCTGCTCTTAGTCCGAGCGCTAAGAAACTCACCTTGTCCGTCTCTGTTTGCGCAGTCCCTAGCGGCGCCGGCTGTAGCTCCCATCACAGTGGGACGGGTGAGGTGGCGGTAGCGCGACTCAGTAGTGAAAAGAACTGTCTACAGATGGCACTGTGCCCGGTTTACCTGCGCCGTACCGTTTACCCGCTAGGGGCGTTCAAAGTCGCAGGGGACAATCACTGTACCCCGGACAATCACTGTATCCTCTACCCTACTAGCGCGCCATACTTAAGAATGCACACTGATACAACACTTTTACTAGCTCTGAAGACGTTGCGAAAAGAATCTGGTTGAAAAGCAACGGAAATCTCTCCCCTCTAGACGGCGAGCTCGTAGAGCAGGACATGTATGCCGTGTGATAATGTAAGCAATTTACTAAACATGCAGCATGTGAAATACGACTGTCTGACGTCAAGGACCAAGGAAAATAAGCACACCGCCGTGTGTGTGTATCGGGTGTAACCACGTTGGGTGTAACGGATGGCAAAGCAACCCTTAACAGCCCGTGCAAGCCCCAGGCGCGGATTAAGGTCCAGCTGACAGGGGAGGCGATGCACTGTTGGTTGCCTACATACAGGGGTTTTGTACCACAAATTGCCTACATTTCAGGCGGCTGTATAGAGACGACAGGGGGGGCGATCGCCCCCCTCGCCCCTCCCCTTAATCCGCGCCTGGCAAGCCCGCACTGAGCTGGCGCGGACTGATACGGGCTCTTTAAGATTTGCAGCGGCTGGGCTGGGCTCTCGGGTCAAGGCGGCGTGGCTAGTCGCGTCTGGGCTGTAACGGGTTCTTTCTTTCCGACGTCGGGGATCAAAGTACGAAAAGTCCGTCACCACCAGCCCTTCTGTAGGCTCTGGGATCTTCGTGTTGGTCGTCGGAGCCCCTTCGAACTAGGCAAGCCCGCCGCGCTCCGCTGTCGGACTCTGTGGCCTACCCCGGCGCCGTCAGGCGCTCCGCGCCTCCCAGCTGGAGTTTTTAATCGTGGGCACCGATTCGGGCCGAATCCTTGACTTGGCAGTCCCCCGCCTCTCGCCCTCTCCCTCTTGTCCGATCGGAAACTCGAGTCCCAACCCGATTCGTCGCGCTCCGGGTGTGGCTGACAATGATGTGCTGTGGTGTCTACATTCCGTCTTATTGGACTCAATAGGGGAAGGGGATGGAGTCAGCATCTTCCCGCATCCCCTCCCCACGTAAAACTTCGTCACTGAGATCCCGGAGATTGCA